AAGTCTATTTATTACTAAGTCCACTCTTAATCATTCCTCAACACACAGAATTCATATTTTATTCTTTTTCTCCAACAGGTTATCATCTATACTAAAAGTGCAAGAAATAATTCATGAAGTTCATACTAATTCGCAAAGCAGAAAGTTGAGTGGTGCTCACGGCTGCACATTTGTTAAATTTGCATTAGCCCATGCAAAGCTTACTGCAAATAAATTCTTCCTTAACGACAGAAAGTATAATTAATGGAAATTACCACACAGGATTTCAGAAGGAACGTTATTTCTGAAAAGGAAGTCTAAACAAATAAATAAGACAAACAAGATTGCTTATGTCTTCTTCTCATTACTTTTCTACCAAAGGTGGTAGAACACAGGAAATAATTTTTGTTTTAGCTTGCAGTGTTAAAACATGGAAATTTTTTATAGAACCCTCTAAATTGTATTATTCTTTAGACTTTTAGAAAAGGTAGAATACCTTGTCTCTCCTGAACAGGAAACTATTCAGGAAACAATTACAGCTACAGACACTTTGAAAAAACAACAAATCTTAGTACATTCTGCATAGAACTTACCTGTGCAAATATACCCATGCCATCAAAATAAGACACTTTTTAGAAGTTTTTCCACCATCTCAAAGTGAATTAGACAGCAACAGTGATACTGTTGTCTTCCTAACGTAACTCTCTAAAGTCTCCAAAGACTACCTGGGTTGCAGAGATCTATTGCTACTGATTGTAACAGAGACATTGGACAAAATGAAGTATTAATGGGAAGCAAACAGGACAGTATAAAACAGGCCTGCTGCAAAGTGTTTGCAAAGTGTCATTTACAGCTCTACTACAGTACCCCAAAGGAGGAAAAAAAAAAAAAAAAAGCGTTGGGATCTGTGGCTTAAGGTCCCCTCTTATCCCAAAGTGCTTTACCATTTTATCTAATTTCCCATGTAATTATCCATATGACAGACATGTTAATCATAGAATCATAGAATATCCTGAGTTGGAAGGGACCCTTAAGGATCATCAAGCCCAACTCTTGACACCGCACAGGTCTACCCAAAAGTTCAGACCATGTGACTAAGCGCACAGTCCAATCTCTTCTTAAATTCAGTCAGGCTCGGTGCAGTGACCACTTCCCTGGGGAGCCTGTTCCAGTGTGCAACCACTCTCTCTGTGAAGAACTTCCTCCTGATGTCAAGCCTAAACTTCCCCTGCCTCAGCTTAACCCCGTTCCCGCGGGTCCTGTCGCTGGTGTTAATGGAGAAAAGGTCTCCTGCCTCTCGACACCCCCTTACGAGGAAGTTGTAGACTGCGATGAGGTCTCCCCTCAGCCTCCTCTTCTCCAGGCTGAACAGGCCCAGTGCCCTCAGCCGTTCCTCGTACGTCTTCCCCTCCAGGCCTTTCACCATCTTCGTAGCCCTCCTCTGGACACTCTCCAACAGTTTCATGTTAATGCATGGATTGATACAAAACAATGCTCATAGTAAAGTTTACTTAACTCTTACTGGAAACATTCCATAAGTCACAGAACAAGAAAAAAATTCTACTACTCATTGCGGTATGCACTTATTCTTTTGGTCAAACTTCAGACAACAGTCCATATCAATAAACTGAGAAGTCTGTTGTAATTCAAAGGAATTAGTAAGCTGGACGTGGAAAAAAGAAATTCTGAGACACAGATCTCCTGGAAGACTTCAAAATGGGAGACTTGCTATAAACTGTTATTCTCAAATGAAATGGATCTCTTCATCAGATACAACCCAACCTTAGAAGTGTGTGGAAAGACTAAATTGCCACCAAGTGTCATGTCAGTGAAGTCTACAGGAAGTTAGATGGACAAAAGGAGAAAGAACGTCAATTTAAGCAAGTAACAAAATAATGAGATCACCAAAAAGCATTTTAGCATGCTGAAGTATCTCTATGTAGGGTCACCCAAATGCCAGAATGGGGAGAATAAAAGGCATGTAAATCAAAAGCCTATGCCGGGGCTAAGAGTGGGTCTGCAGTAACCAGCAAACAGCTTGGTGCATTTCTTCAGCTGCATCATTCATCAACATTTGCAAGAGGTCTGCCTATGTTCGTCTGTTGAGTATAAATGTTTTATTTGTGTTTTATCTTCACCTGACCCAAGTTAAGCATGCTTCCAAGTGACTTGGCTATTAAGGAATCTGTTGGAAATGTATGGCAAGCCTGTAGAGATGGAGACTTGTCTTCCACTGACAGCAAAAAGGAAAGCTGACATACAGCAGCATAGCAGAGCAGACCTGAATATGGTAGGAGTTCACCACAGCAATAGAATCTAGATCCTGTATACACATGTAACAATACTTCATGTGTTCGAGTCACAAAAGAATCAGAGAGCATCCTGCAGGCTTTTTGAGCACACCACTAGGTGTCATGCACACAGCTCAGCCTTGAAACATGCATGACTCCAAGAAGCCTCGGTATTCCTCCCGTGTAATTACCAAAGAAGTTAGCCACCCTGACCACTACTATTCCAACTCACACATCCACTCAGACTGTTTGTAAAATTAGAATCTGAAAGCTCTGAGAGTATTTACCAACACATGCTAACAAATTTGAGGCTTTTGTATGAAGAAAGCCAGAACTGTACTGTTGACAATTTTAAAAATAGTTTTATGTCAGCAATCTGTTGGCTACCTGAAAATTCAAGAGCTTCTATTCCATTCTGGGATTTGCCAGCTAAATATTATTTAACGTAAGCCATCATTCCAAACACATTTGTCTCTTTTATACTTCTACCACTCATAGAAGTTTGGTCCATACTTAAAAATCAAAGGCAAAATGGGTCATTTTAAAAATCCTTCTTTTTTTTTTTTTAAAAAAAAAAAAAAGTAATTTCCCACCTAATCTGAAAATTTCCAACTCTGCAGAATTACAGTGCTTTTGAATGAAAGTTGTCTGCTTCCATCTTTCTTTTTTGGATAAAGTGAAACAAATATTTATTTATTTATTTTGACAAATGGATTCATACTGGTATTGTATACAACTGCTGTTCATCTCCAAATAGATTACAGTGACTCAACAGTTTGCCAGTAGGGCTATGAATATCCCTTAATCTAACAAGAGAGCACATAGGTTATCATTTAAAGGTACACTCCATGAACACAGTAATGAAAGTCACAAGCTCAGAACAGCTTCAGTCCCAATCTAGATCTGTGCTTTTTCCATAGGTAATCAAAGCAAATCTTAACCTTTTCAAAAGAGATCACTTTCTTGCCAGAGCAGGAGGCAATTTAAAGTGTCTTCTATAGCTAACAGAAGCAGCTTTTCAAATTCCTCTCTGCTCAATCTCCAGAAAGTTCTACTGAGATGAAAATCTCAGTCTCAAAACCAGTTACTATTCAAAAAAGTTGCCAAACCATAGACCTACTGATCAGGTATGCAATTCAGACTGAGATACAGAGAACTTCTCTAGACTTATTCTGATTTCAGCCTTGGCCTAGTTTATTTTCTTAATAGCACTGTATTTCATTTTGTACAGATGCACAGCTTAGTAAAAAGCTTATCTTCTGTGACTGAAAGCAGGAAGTAATTTTATAGCTAATACACCTCTAGTACCTACAAGTGCAAAAACTTCTGCCAACACAGAAACAGAGCAAAAAGACGTCAGAAATAGCATGAGGAGATGTATGAATACCTGATATTAAACAAGAATGTTGAGATTCTCTAAATGGCTTTAAAGCAATCCGGATAGAAAAGAAAAATTGCACAGATCTGCAATCAGGAGAAAAGACACCCTGCTGAAGGTGAAGTATGTTACTGAAGCATGTTCAGAGTCTGCTAGAGAACCAGATAAATATTGCCTAAAACGATGAGGAATTTTGCAAAGTCAGAATCAGAATTCAGACTAGAGAAAGCTAATCCCAATAAAAGTGTGGTGATAGCCTTAGAACCAATTACAGAATTTACATTTCCCTGGCTCAGAAACACACTCCAAACCCTTGCAGATGTGACGTTTATTAAGCTTGACATAACTATGAGATCAAGTAACAAACCCACATTACAGGCTAAAACTAGCATTAGTTGCCAGTTGAAACACTTCCACTTGCCAGCAGCCCCATGTCCAAGGGCACAAAGAAATATGCTGTATTTCTCCCAGAATAACAGCTCCCACCACTCCAAAACTCACCCAAGCAAATTGCTCCTTGATCTCTCCAATTAAAGAACCAAATATTCATGTGTTCAGATACAATCTGTCCCTGAGCCCTTTCCTCATTTTTTAAGCTATCAAATCAATTACCTGATATAAACAACTGGAACTGATCTGCCTCCAAGCAAGTGAAGTGTTAGACAACACTGACACCAAGTGACAGAATTCAGAAAAATACCAAGTAAAACAACCCACACAGAAATGGTAGTGCACTTCATCAATATGATCTGGAAGACACAAGGCCTGTTTTTCCCCCCAAGAAAGCAAAAATTAAGACATAATATGAGAGCTGACAATTTCACAGATATCACACAAGTTACAGAAAGTATGTCCAAGATTAAATACGTTAACAATTTGATTTAACCTTGATCTCACCAGCATGAGTGAAAGACTATATACACTGTTTTGTGCAATCTAGCCTTGTAAATTCATTTCTAAAAAAATAATTGATGGTTTGCATGTACAGTTAGCATTTGATTTCATTGACTTTTGTGGATTTAAGTTCATTTCCCAAGTAAAAAAAAAAAAATCCAAACAGTACTTTTATGCCATTTAATGAAAACATTTTATGTTAATGCAAAGCTTAATAGTCAGCTGAACCTCACCTACCTGGCTCTACAACAAAGAAACCTTCAGAAATCAAGTACCACGCGTTGCAACACCTTATGCATTAAAGAGAATTGCCACCTTTTCTACTGACTTTCACAATCACATTATGTAAGTATTAAACCCCACTGATAGAACAATAACCCTACCAGATGCTTCTTCTCTCACCTACCATGCTTTTGCCCAGTGCTTTATGTCTCCCAACCCAGCTTCCATGGTCTTACCTGTTGACGTTTGAATGCCAAGTAATCAAGATTTTCCAGATCTTTCCGAAACTTCTGGTAGGTTTTCTGTAGTTCAGACTTACTGGACACATTTCTTAGCATTTCAAAGGTTCTTCGAAACTGTGATAGTAAAGAAAAAAATATCACTCACACAGTTGTTGGTTTGTTTTTTGTTGGTGTGGTGTTGGTTTTTTTTTGTGTGTAAGGTTTTTATTCTAAATACTGTTGTCTTCAAGTATACCATCTTACAGACACAAGCACACTTCTACAACTTTGAAATCAATTCCATTATCCAAAGTATAGCGCACATATCCCGTTTAAGTAAATTAAATCCTCTAATTGACGTCACAGATAAGACTTACATAAGACAAAACACTAGCAATCTGCCTGATCTCTAAAGATCAGTTCTTTATCAATCTACCAGATACTTCCCCTCTCGCCCCCCAACTAACAAAAAACATATGCAGCTTCATAAAGCCCATGAACTCCTCATTTGAACAAGCATAACAGTGGATCCTGTTTTTCAGGGTACTATCAAGTTAACTTACTTACCATACTCTGCAAGGCTCAAGACTCACCTGAGGCAAAGTGCTCAGATACTACAGGAAAGCTGTGACAAGATCAGTCATACTTTGAAATCTCACTTTTAAATGAAACACTTCTTTCACACACACTATTTCTAAAAACAGAACTGGTACTTATCAAAGAGATGAACAATACCAACCCAGCTGTAGGGAACTGCAACAGAAAGGATAAGATTTGTGCAAAAGAAGAACTGGAGATACCAGCACAGAGACGGTCTGAAGGAACACGGTAAGGGAAGGGCTCGCAGAATGGCCCAAAAATTAGTAGGTCACCAGGATCCCACTGCATCTACCACCTAGGAGCAACTGCACTGTGATCGAGAACTGGAGACAAAGACTAGCAAGGGCTTTCAGACAGGATGGGGATGCTGATGTCTGCTAGGTCTAAAAAGGCACAGAAGGACAACCCAGATATGCACATGGGCACCAACCTAAGAACAACCCAGGAGATTTGAGAAAGACCTGACAACCGGTGTCCCTCAGCCTCTGATCTTCACAACAGATCCTGGTCCTAACATCTGGACACAAGCATCATGTGGTCTGACTGCTGGATGGAATTTCTGTACACAACACACATTCTGGCGCTTGGCAACAGAGATGGTCACAGCAAGCGTAAAACCTGTTTGTTTCTAGTTTTAATTTTAATCAAATCAAAAATCCATGCTTTAGGGTCTGATCAGGTTGTTTGCTGCATCATTGATACAAAGTTACAGAAGTATTTTGTACACAACTTCCTGAGCTTATAAAGCAGTAGCAAGATATACATACTCTTCCCTATTCAGGCATGTCTAACAAAAAAAAAAAAGTAAAAACTCAATTTTATAAGTGTTCTTCTTCTGGGAGATATGCTTCAGATTACTTTTTTAAAAAAGCTTTCCCACATACCACTTGTTTATAATATAGTTCTTGAGTCCTCGGTGAAAACAGTATTTAACAGCTGCTATACAAGGAAAAAAAGCACTATGAAGACTTCGCTCGAGTAACATACACACAGATAAGCAAATTTTAAAAGAAGGTAGAAAGAAAATATGAACTGGTGTATCGATTAAAAAACCCTAAGCAGCAAACATCCTCAACCACATTTCTTCTGTTAAGGTAAAGAAAACATGAGCAGGTTGAAATAGCTCAGTCCCTACCTGATCCTAGCCTTGATACATTTAAGTGATTTGTCAAGCACTCCAGGGGTTAATACATGATGCTTCAGAAAGACAAAGGTGTATTATACCTCTTCTACTAGTTACAAAACGATGCACAGGGAAGGAAGTTGCCCTCCCATGGCTCTGTTAGTATTCCAGGTCCAAGACCTAGAACAGCAGACTGAAATCATTCACACCTGCAGTTACAGAAATGGAATTCTATCTTTTTGACAAGGTCAGATATCTGATTTTGCTACAGCTTCCTTGCTGCTTCAGGAAATCACTTCTCTGGCTTTTGCTGTTTCACTATCTGTAAATATTCTTCTTTCCCACACAAGCATGTAACAGCTGTAAAGCCACAAGTAGTTTAGAAATATTCTGTTATCTCAGCAATTAGCACCAGCAGTTAGTCTAGAAACACATCTTTACACTGATAATCAGGAAAAACTACATGTTTTCTACATCTGTCCAAGATACTACCTTAGCTTACTACAGTTACAAAGCCTGTATGTGAATTACCTACTCTAAGTTGGATTGTGGTACTACTGTCTGGGAAACGAGGCAGATGACCCAAAGAAATGAACTGTTTTCCAGTCATTTCTGGCAAACTAGGCACTGCAGTAACAACTACAGCACACTTCTGTGTACCTTGGCTAACACTACAGACATTGAATTGGAAAAAGGAACCACAGGAGCAGAAAAAAAAGAGACAATCTCCACTCATCTTCAGTCCCTCTTTAAAAGCTGACAGCAGCTTTGGCAGCTAGTGCTGACCTGGATGTAGACTTCTCCACAGCATGACTTGTTCTGTGGGCATTTAAGGAAACCTCAGGTGTGGACACTGCTCAACAGCCACTAGGTAGCCCCACTTTGGGGATGAACAGCTGCAGATTTCAGCTGGCAATCTGCAACTGACAGACACATCCTGGAATCCCCAGGCAAGTCACCACTTCTGGTTTTCCACATGCTGCAGGCCTATATTTCAGTCTTACTGCTCTCAAAACTAAGAAGCAAGATAAAGCAGTATTTATTTCCATTTGTCATTTACCTTACTACACCTCATTCAGCACCACTCAAGGTTAACTTGAGACTTTCCAGCTGCAGTTCAAATGTTTACTACCAAAAAATAAAAGAATACTTTCTCATCCAAAGTATACTGCACTGAATTCTCTAACAACACAGCTGAGAAAACATAAATGCTAAACTGTACAACTCTTAATTCTCTTCTGTTCAATTTCATTATCTTGCACATTTTCCCCCTCAGATTTTCCCTCTGCTCCAGAGATGCTCTGAAATCCTTGAACTTGCAAAGCTTCCTTTCACCAATTCACACTCCAGCAGGGTGTCCTGTAAGGTGGAAGCAATTTAATTACATCATCTGCAAGCAAGACTGGAGCAAAGTTTAAACAATTAAATAAAACTGCTCCTTGATGAGTCTAGTAAACTGCTCATAATGTATCTGTCCCAGTACACCATATTCGCTCAGCTCAAACCCATGACACACTTCTCCAGAAACTACCTCAAAGCGCCTGAACCCTGTTATGGGGTTGAGCAATACTGCGTCACAAATGATTCCCAAACTCACTAGCTACTACAAAGCAGTCTTTTTTCTCATCAACACATTAGACACAAGTAGTAGAGCAGTAGAATCATCATCCTCTTAAGGATGTACTTAATCCCATAGTTCCAATTCTTCATTTGGCAGGAGCAAGCTCACTTGATTCCTCATGTCCTAAAGCAATCTGAATATTAATAATGTGTTTGGCTGTCTGGAAAGAGATACAAGAACCAGCATGCAAGGATGAATAAATACAAACCAAGCATGTAACTTTAGGGATAATATACTTAAATAATAGAAAAAAGATGTGTGATGGCCATCCTCAAGAAACTAACCAATTAGAGTAAATCTGTCTTAACATGCGAGGAAAAGTTTAACTCAAAAGTAAATTCAAAAAACACGCCAACAACTTTAAGATAACATCCTTATTCCCTTTTCACTGACATCAAAAGGAAACTAAAAAAAGCTGCCTTGGACATACAAAAGTTACCAGAATGTCCTTTAAATCTTAACCATATCTGGATTTTCCTCTATCAGTCTAAACTACTATTTGTAGGTGAAGGGCAAGAAAACCCCTGTCAAGACTGTTGTCTAGAGGTGAAAAGTAGTGTTAGAATTTTCTTCCTCTTTCTCACTGATAACCGAATATAAATAACCCTAAGGGGAGAGTCCACAGAAGCTCTTTTTTTCTTATTACTTTTTCAAAGTACTTTGACCATAGTTTCTGGAAGCTGAGAAGCAGCGTTCCTTTACTACTATTTTGCTCTCTGTGGCACTATTGGTTAATTGTCTTAATATCAGCACAAACACATCATATATTACTTTAAATCTTTTCAAAATACAGGAAGTGATCTTACAAGAACAATCTATGGATTCAGTTGATGAACGTTATGACATTCCTTTCAAAATAAAAAAGTCAACAATTGTAAAATTAGTGCCAAGTACCCTGGAACTAAAAAAAATACCACAAAGTGGATACCACACCAGCCACTATGACCCGAGTAGTACTGTCAGGTGCTGAATGAAGGTTGAATACTTACCTGACCAGAAACGAACACACAATGGAAGCCCTAAATTAAGTGAAGCAACTTCTATAGTCCCATTTAAGGGATCCTGAAGCACAAAAATCTCATCCACAACTCAGAAAGTGATGAGAATCCAGAATGAGGATGGACTGGAATTGTTATTAATATGGCCTCCTAAGTACATTGGCCCTGATAAGCATGTTGAGAACTCCACAGTCTCCTCACAGAAGATGATCATGGTTCCAACTAATTAACAAGGGCTACTATAAACTATAAACCAAATTTCCTTCAGTCTGACAGGTTATTTAATGTAATGTCAAAAAGAGAAGTGAGCTCTGACTAAAGGTTTTCCTGCTGTCAAGCTATATACGAGGGCTACCCGAGAATCTACTGGTGATTTTATTAGCACCTTTTGCGGGCTTTTTATCTGCAGCAGAAGTTTTTCCTTCACTATCCACCCTCCTATTTTCATGAGCCCTGGAATCTCTGATCTTCTGCTTCATGTGATGAAAATCAGGCAATGGATTCAAAGAGAAGAGGCCGAGGCATACACAAAGTATCTGCAGAATGCTTCAGCAGGAAATTATACTAACATTTTGATTCTTGAAGTCTACTATATTTAGTCTTTATTCAAATTAATTTCTTCAATTCAATAAACTTTACACTCTTTGAATGTTGTAGCTTAGCTCTGCACTTTTCTGTAAAAGGTTAATTTAATTGTTTAGTATTAGCAATACTAAAATAAGACTACACTGTTTGCTTGCAACAGCTATACCTCATTTAGCTGTTGCAAGCGAACAGATTAATTACAAGAGTA